CATAAAGTTGGAGAGAAGGAAACACTTAAAAAGTTATTTAATGAGGTAAACAATACTCTGATGACAAAGTCAGATAAGGATCCTACAAGAATAAAAAACTGTATACAGACCAATGTCCCTGATGGACACAGATGCAACAATTCTAAACAAAATATTAGCAAACCAAATTCAAGAATTCATTGAAAGGATTATATCATGACCATGTGGGATTTATCCCTAGGATTCAAGGATGGTTCAACAATATATGAATCAATAAATGTGATACACCAGATTAATAGAATGAAAAATAAAAATCATATGATCATCTCAAAAGATGTAACAAAAAAACACATTTGACAAAATACAACATTCTTTCATGATAAAATTCCTCAATAGATTGAGTACATACAGAACATACCTCAATATAATAAAAGTAATATACAACAAACACACAGGTAACAGCATACTCAATGGAAAAAATGGAAAGCTGTTTCTGTAAGATCAAGAACAATACAAAGGTGCCACTGTCACCACTCTTATTCAACATACTGTGAGTCTTACCTAGGACAGTCAGGCAGGACAAAGAAAAAGCATCCAAATAGGAAAGGAAGAATTAAAATTGTTGCTATTTGCAGATGATGTGACATGATATACTGAAATAAAAAAATGGTTGGGTCTAATCAATGAATACAATAAAATTAAAGGATATAAAATCACAACACAGATATTAGTTGTTTTCCATACACTAACCATAATGCATCTGGAAAAAATTAAAAAAAAAAAAAAACTATCCCATTCACACTAGCAACACAAATAATAAAATACCTAGGAAGAAATTTAATCAAGTAAAAGATCTATGAAAACTACAAGGCTTTTCTAAATGGCATAAAAAAATTGGAAGGATATCCCATGTCAAGGATTTGAAGAGTTAATATTGTTAAAAGGTCCATGCTACCAAAGCCATTTATAGATTCAACACAATCACTATCAAAATTCCTATGGCATTTTTTAAATTTATTTTTTATTTTTTAATTAAAAATTTTTTTTAAATCTTTTTTTTTATTTTTTAAGAGACAGAGTGCGAGTAGAGGAGGGACAGAGGGAGACACAGAATCCAAAGCAGGCTCCATGCTCTGAGCTGTCAGCACAGAGCCCAAAACAGGGACGGAACTCATGAAACATGAGTTTATGACCTGAGCTGAAGTCAGACCCTTAACTGACTGAGCCACCCAGGTGCCCCAGCATTTCTCACAATAGAAAAATCAATCCTCAAATTTGTATGGAACAACAAAAGATCCCTTTATAGCCAAAGCAATGATGATAAAGAAAATCAAAAGTGGAACCATCATACTTACTGATTTCAAAGTATACTACAAAGCTATACTAGTTAAATAGTACAACCCTGGCCTAAAAACAGGTACTTAGGTCAACAGAACAAAATACAGTACCCAGAATTAAACTCCCACATATACTGTCAACTAATAAATGATAAGGGATCTAAGAACAGTCAATAGGGAAAGGATAGCTTTTCAATATATGATGCTGGGAAAACTCGATAAACCCATGCAAAGAAAATTGGACCCCTACTTACACCACCCGCAAAAATCACCTAGAAATGGATCAGACTTAAACATTTGGATAGGATATCCAAAGCACAAATGTAAAACAAAACAAAACAAAACAAAACTTAAGTGGGACTACATCAAACTTAAAAGCTTCTACACTGCAGAAGAATTAAGAAATTAAGAAAATGAAGAAATTAAGAAAATGAAAACGCAAATGAATTATTGGTAAATAAAAGACAAATGGATAATGGGTTAATATCCAAAATATACATAGAATTCCTAGAACTCAGTAACAAACAAACAAACAAACAAAAAACCCACAAAGAATCCAATTAGAAAATGGGCAAAGGAACTGAAGAGGTACTTTTCCAAAGATGACATGCCAATAGATACATGAAAAGGTGCTCAACATCACTAATACAAGTCAAAACCACAATGAGATATCATTTCACACTTGTAACAATAGCTATTATCAAGAAAACAAGAGATAACAAGTATTGGCACTGTTGGTGGGAATGAAATTGGTTCAGCCACGATGGAGAACTGCATAGTTTCCCCCAAAAAAGTTAAGAATAGAACTACCATATGATCCAGTAATCACAATTCTGTGTATAAATCAAAAGGAATTTAAAATTATCAAAGATATACACTGTATACTGCAGCATTAACACAACAGCCAAACTGTGTCCATCAACAAGTGAACGGACAAAGACATGGTGACACACACATACAAATATATAAATAAAGTGTGACAGATCACATTTTATTTACATTCATATCACATTCATATACATAAAACAGAATTATACATATATACATATATGTGTGTGTATATAAATAAAACAATACTCTTCAGCCACAAGAAAAAGGGAAATCCTGCCATTTGCAGCAACATGGATGGATCTTGAGGACATTATGTTAAGATAAGACAAATACTGCCAGACACCTCCTATATGTGAAAGGTAAACAAAACAAAACAAATGAAGACACAGTAAAATGGTACCTGCCAGGGGCTCAGGAGTGGACAAATGGAAGAGATGTTGTTCAGGGTACATGCTTGCAACTAGTACATGAATAAGACATGGGGATCTCATACGCATACAGTGATTACAGACAGCAAAACTGTATTAAAGACATTAAACTTGCTAACAGACTAGATCTTAATTTTTCCACCACTAGAAGAAATGATAATTACGAGATGTGATAGAAAGGTTTGCTAATGCCTCAACGGTAATCGTATGAAAACATGTATATCAAATCAATGTGCTATGTATCTTTAACTTACAGCATGTTAAATGTCAATAATATTTCAATAACAAAGACTATAATTCAAGATAAGAAAATAATTTAACTGATAAGAAAATAATTTATTTACAGATGGATTATGATGTCACTTTTATTACTATCAAATGATTTTTTTTTCCCAGAAAATCTACCAAAGAAAAAAAGGATTTGCATCAATAGTGAAACTGTGAACATTTATAATTAAGATTAATTGTACTGACTTTTGTTTTGAAACAATTCATGTTCACACATATTACGTAGTAGTAAAATAATATACGGGGAAAAAAGGTCTTCATAAACTTAAGATAGGCATAAAACTAAATATAAACTGAAAGTTTTCTTCCTAATCACAATTAAATTATAACATACAAAGTATGTCATTTATATATTATTTCTTTATATGAAAAGTATCTGGGGGGAAAAACACTCATTGCGTTCTGTTCAGTTTGCATGAAAAAAACCTTGAAACTTCCACGGATATCAATTTTTTGTCAAGAACTACTAGTATAGTCATAAACAAATCAACATTGTAATAACAAAAAAGCCTCAAGTGTGACATAAATTCTTTGCACAAAATAGTTAAAAAGTCATTTGCAAGATCCTCTCCACAAAAGTAAATTGTAAGCAGAGATAGCAGTCAATGCTGTCTGAATGTACCAATCCTATTTTATGTCATATTTTATATCCTAGAACACAGAAACTGGAGCTGGCCAGAAAGCTAGATTTTTTAAAACCAGTTGGAAAAAAAATCAATTACAGAAGAAAGTCATCTTGCACACAGTTGATGCAGATTCACAGAATTCTACATTGTTATGCTCATGAAAAAGCCTTGCACATCTCCATATACGTTTCAGCTCAATAAGTTTGTGCCTTTTGTACAGCTATAAAAATGTGAAAACACTCAATCTGTTCTTGTGGTCCCAGTGCTATGGAGACTGGGAAGACACAGGAAACATAACAGAGAAGTTTTGTTTTTTGTTTTTGTCTTTTTTTAAGGGTAGATTAACAAATTGAAGAATTCTCAGGCATCCCATTTTAATTTTTTCTTATGAATTACTTGTGAGATAATCTGACTCTATGTAAATGTGTGCAACTGGAGTGCCAGAAGTTAGAAGGAAGAAAAAGCTGCAGGGAAAAAACAATACAAATAACTACAGACTTCTTATCAGTTAAGTTAAAGTGTATATTGTAAATTTTAAAGCAATCATACAATAAATAAAATGAAGGGACATCTAGTAAGTCAGAAGAAAAAATAAAATGCAATAAACATATTTTATACAAAAGAAGGCAGAAAAAGAGGAAAAAGGAACAAAACAGATGGAATAGACATACAAAATAGCAAAGAAAGCATAATTAACCATATCACTATTACATGAAATAGAAATAAACACAGAAAGTTAAAAAGAGATTGTTAGGCTAGTTTTAAAAAACAGAAAAACGAGACCAAATTGTATACTACATGTCTGAAATTTGAAACAGTACAAATGTCCATCAAGATGAATGCAGAAACAAACTGCCACAATCATACAATGGAATACTACTCAGCAATAATGACTCAACTACTGATACAGTTAACAGCATGAGTAAATTTCAAAATGATGTGCTAGGCAAAAGTTCACACACACACACACACACACACACATGTGCGCACTGGCTGATTCTATTTCATAGAGTCATAGGTAGAACATTCACAATTATTCTACGGTGATAGAAATTAGATTTAGTTTCCTGGGGAGGAATGTGGGTGTGCATAAGGGAAGCATGACAAAAGTTTCTGGGCTATAGAATATTTTACTTCATGTTGGGGTAATATTTAAACAGTTGTATACCTTAGAGAAATATCACTGAACTATATACATAAAGTGGGAGAATTCATTGCCATCTTATGTTAACCATAATTTAATAAAATTAAGAATGTTAAATTAGGAATCAAAACTATATCCAGAAATGTTCCAAAAGTTAGAAATTAAACACAGTTTAGAGTAGTGTTAAAAGGTGGTTTATCAGATGTTTAAGAACATATGTATGTATATACAGCTTAATTTAGAATCCATGTTTAAAATTATAATTAACAACAATGTGAAGACTAATCAGTAACTTAAATATTCTACAAAAAATTATTTATACATACACACAATCACATGCCTAAACACACACACATAAAGTAATTACCAATTGAAGCTGAGTACATTTGTTTCATGTGAGTTTCAATGACAGAAGGATCCCGAGAGCTGTAAATTCCCAACTCAGGGTAAAAGCTGGAGCCAATGTCATCCGGGGGATTATGTTTCCCTTGTGGATAATTCTTGGTTATTCTAGGGTCCCAATGCTTCAGGATTGGATGGTTCCAATGTATATATTTACCATCAAATTGCGGATTTCCATACCAACTGTAATAAAAGACATGCAAATAATAATTCAGAGGTCGCAGCTCTTCCACGTAAGGTTCAGAGGCTTTGGAAGGTTTCAGAGTGATTTCGACACTTTTTAAATTCTTGATACTTGTTTTGGGAATCAAGGTTTTTCCCTAAGTGAGTTTGTTGATGAAGTTCTGGAAGAAGTTCAAGTCCAAAAGGATCTCCAAAAGTAGCTTTATTTGGTCTCAGCATTTTTAAACCCATCATCAGGGAGAAAATAAACAGAATAAAAAGTGACAAAATGATGCAAGTCCTTCTTCGAAATTTTGCCATGATGACATACTTTAAACTCCAAAATGGTAAGTGTTTAGCTGTAATTTATTGAAAAGTGGTAATTAGTAAGTAGTATTGACAATATTACCCAATGTATTCAAAATGAAAACAAAAATCTGTAAAGTTCATTACATTGAAAGATTTTAAAAGTTCATCATATTAGTTGTATAATCAAAAACTGAGATCTACAAAATAGTCTATATATGGCTAGATTAAATAGCAGTATTTATTTGGAAATATCACAATTACATTTTATGTTTTTATGTTTAAGTATGTATATACATATATGTATAGGTATGTGTGTATATGTACATAGGTATATACACACATATGAATAAAATATCTTTATGTACAAATTTCTGGCTTGGGGAAAAGTTGACATTGATTTATAAAATACGACTTTCTATGATAAATCATGCTGTTGTTATTCCAAAGAATTAAGTTCATAACAACTAATCCTGATAGAAAAGACAGACAAGTTAAACATAATCAGCAAGTAATTCTGTCTCACACATACACAAATACTTTCTATAAACTGTTACTTCCATTATGCATATATGCAAGAATTACTAAGATGAGCAAGCATATTTCTTTTAGGGCTAAAATCAGTCTTCTCAAAGTAAAGTTTAATTGTGAAATATAACATACCTAAGGATTAATATAAAAGACATACATCTAGGTTGAAACATATAAACATTCAAAACGGAGGCTGCCAGCTTAAAAATTCATCTCCACCTTTTGTGACCCTTGCCAATCACCAGCCCTGCCCCTTCTCCTTAACAATAACCACTTGCCTTTTGTATTTACCATCCCCTCACCTTTCTTGGTAGGTTTTCTAAAACATACATGTATCTAACCAATATTCATTTTGTTTTGCCCATTTCAAAATTTTACTTAAGTAGATATGGTATTATCGATATGTACATACATACAAATAGAGAATATGCATATTAATCTTATACAAATATATGTGTATGCCTTCCATATACTTAGATATACTATAAATATGTATAATTACATATATAATTAGATGTACAGAAGTTACACAAAAATATTGAGAAACTTTATTAAACCTTCTCTGACACTTTACATGGTATCCTACCTCTTTTCCATCCCTATGTTCTAATTTGCATCAGTTCTTCCTCTCATAAAAAAAGTCATGAAAATGGAAAGGCATAGGCAGATAGGTCTGGAGATTTTGTTTTACAACTATAATAATCCACTGGTTTTATGAAAATGCTTTCATGTCAAATATTCTCCTTCTTAAACTTTTGGAAGTAAAAAGTTAACACTTTATTGTTCCTAAGACTAATTTAGGGACACCCCCCCCAAGTTATAATATTTTAATATTATTACACGGATACACTATGACCACACCAACAAGCTGGACTCATTAACGTAGATCATGTAACCAATTAACACTAGACATAAACTAAAACAAGCATTATGAAAGTAGAAATAGTTGACTTTTAGATGAGAAACAGGTGAATCCTTACTGTTGTTCAAGGAACAAAAATATGTTTCATTTGGTTGGAATATCAAAACAAATTCTAGACTCAGTTTAATTGAGCAACTAAATTGTGTAAAAATAGTATGCTAAGCGCCACATGAAACAGATTGATTAGTAAGACACAGTTCTTATGTTCAAGATGCTTGGAGTCCCCAAGGAAGGCAGAAGACACGTATGCAAATAAACTATAACTCAAAGAAAAAAAGTGCTAAAAGAGAAGTGAAAGGCATATATAAAGCAATAAAATACCATATAAATTAAGGAGTTGAAAAAAACTCTTTATGAAAAAAAATGTAAAATCTTAGAAGAAGGAGTACAATATGCATAGGCTGGTGGAAAAGAGAAGGAAAAAAAAAAAAAAAAAAAGAATGTCCCTAGTGTCAGAGAAAGGATGTGCCCAAAGATATACCGGACATGAAAGACACATTGTGAAACACAAAGGCCTCTGTAGGCTGCAGCCAGTAAAAGATAAGGAGGAAAAATAAAGCTATAGTGCTATGTTGGAACCATACTACACCAAAGAAAGAAAACTTTTCTGGTAAACAAGGGACCACTAAAGGCTTGTAAACAAAATATTGGCATAATAAGAGTTCAGATTAGAAGAATGGAGCCCTTATAAAAAAATAATGTTCAAGGCATCAAACTCCACAATTTTCTGAATCTAATAATCTCCCATTCACTGATCATTTTAACAACTTACTCCTTTCCTACTTCTATTACTATTTTTAGTGACTCCACCAATATGGATGATCCAGTCCCGTAGTTTAGCCGCCCCAACTCTTTGCCTCACTTCTAAAGATCTGTTCTTTCTTTCACTCCATTTCACTAACTCAGGTGTCATACTCCTACTCTTGATCCTGACATTGTCAAACATTTATTACTCCAAAATCTTTATTTTTTTTTTCCCATTTCCAAACATAACCTTCCGTGCCTTGAGCCCCTCTAGTTTAGTATTCTCATTCTGGCAATTCCTTGACCTTATTGAGATGTCCAATCCACTGAGTCCACTGCTTTTTTGCTATATTTCCTTTTCTTCATGTTTTGTCTCTAGTGACAGTTTAAAAAAAATTTTTTTTTTTCAACATTTATTTTTGGGACAGAGAGAGACAGAGCATGAACGGGGGAGGGGCAGAGAGAGAGGGAGACACAGAATCGGAAACAGGCTCCAGGCTCTGAGCCATCAGCCCAGAGCCTGACGCGGGGCTCGAACTCACGTACCGCAAGATCGTGACCTGGCTGAAGTCGGACGCTTAACCGACTGCGCCACCCAGGCGCCCCTCTAGTGACAGTTTATAGTCCATTGTCCAACATTATAATTCCTCACTTCTCTCCTTTCTTAATACATACTGGTAAAACCCCAAATAAATGATGTGTGCCTTGACCTTGATCCAGAACCACAGAATTATACTGGACAAAACACACAACCATGTTGACCTTTCACTATGAATTCATACTCAAGATGCTTAACAATCCTGTCACTAAACTCCAGTATGTTCACTTTTCTAACCTCAGAATTACTTTATTCATTTTTGTTTTTCATCAAACCTACGGCTACATCACCAACTTCCTTTATTATCTTCAGATATCTATGTCTTATCCAGCTGACCCTTGAACAATGCGGGTTTGAACTATGCAGGTTCATTAATATGTGCATTTTTCAATAAATATAGTGCAGTACTAAAAATGCATTTTCTCTTGTGATTTTCTTAATACCATTTTTTCTCTAGCTTACATTATTGTAAGAATACAAATATCATATAAAGGACATATATAAATAACATATGTTAATGAACTGTGTGTGTTATCAGGAAGGCTTCCAGTCAACAGTAGGTAATTAGTAGTTAAGTTTTTGAGAGTCCAAAGTTACAGGAAGATTTCCAACTGCATAGGAATCAGCACCCCTAACCTCCAGTGTTCAAGGGTCAACAGTACTTCATAAACAAAAATAATTTTACACAAACTCCCTTATCTTCCCATTAAGAAATTAACTTTATTTTTTTTTTTTATTTTTTTTTTTTTATTTTTGGGACAGAGAGAGACAGAGCATGAACGGGGGAGGGGCAGAGAGAGAGGGGGACACAGAATCGGAAACAGGCTCCAGGCTCTGAGCCATCAGCCCAGAGCCCGACGCGGGGCTCGAACCCACGGACCGCGAGATCGTGACCTGGCTGAAGTCGGACGCTCAACCGACTGCGCCACCCAGGCGCCCCAAGAAATTAACTTTAATATCAACTTGTTTTTATTGTCAGCAAAGGTTTCCAATTTTAATATTTGTTGTTTCACTCCTTTGATTTTCTTCTATACAAAGCTCTATTACTTTTATTCAATTTTGCTCAACTTTTACAACTGTATTATCTCTTCAATTTTTAAGTTTTTGTACCCTTTACATTTCATAGGGCATTATCTATTGTGTTTGTCTTGTAATCTTCATTTATAAAATTTGCTCATTTTTCACTTTTCATAGTCATAATTTGCTTATTCATCCAAATCTCATATAGCTATTTTAATTATTTCTATTAAAATATTAGGTTATGGTTGTCATATATTTTATGAACATGTCTCTCTGGCATGCTTTCAGTATCTACAAGTATGTTCACTTCTTTGCTTATAAGGACTTTGTATGGAACCTGACTGATCTTTTTCTATCGACAAATATTACATGAAATAATTTTCTCTCAATTTTTGGAAGTGAATGCTTTATCATGATAGTTTTTCTAGATTCATGCTCTATAGAACTTAAGCTGTTTTGGGGAAATCTTACAATGGCTTTGAATGTCTTTCTGAGATCAGCTGGGTTCTTCTCCATTCCCACATTTATCTGACATTTTTTATTTCCTTGGCTTGTATGCTATTATTACCCTGCTCAATTTGAAAGCTATTTCCAGAAGTTACTCTTCAATATGGGGTTTTGTCCTGAAAACCAATATGTTGTAGCCCCTTCAGATGTTAGGCTTCAAAGTCTCCCTCCCCCGTTGCAGCTACTATTCTCAAAGTGGGCTGTCACTCTTTCAATTAATATCTATGGTTAGAAATGTTCCTGTCTTCAGTTCAAGCAGATGCACTACTGCTTTCCTCGGTTTCCTCCTGCACAGAGTTAGAAAACAAGTCTTATAGTTATTAGAGAGCTGTCCCCTTCCACTCATACTTTGAGTCCATGGGGGATAACTTGTCTTTCAGTTTTGTTACAGATTATTTGTTTTGGTTTTACTATTTACTGGTCTGCTTTTATGATTTCAGGATAATTTAAACATTATACCAAAGCTGTTGCCATCACTCCTCAACTCTTTGTACTTTCCTTAAAATGTGTTAATACCATAACTCTACTGCTAATTACATCTTTAGCAGTATCTTAGAAGTTCTGTATTCTGTACTTTTATGACCACTGAGTTCAAAATATATTCAAATTTCCATTATTTCTCCCATGAGAACTTATTTATAGATGTATTATATTTGGGAGATTTCCTAGTTTTTTGTTGTTGTTGTTATTGATTTATAGTGTGAATCCATTGAAAACATCGCCTGCATGGT